CTTCTAGCAACTAGTTTTGTTACACAGCAAACTACGTTGCTACAACAGTAACTACAGTTCCTTCTTTAGGAATCTGTTCAGCTGCCCATCCTATGCTCACGTAAATGTTATCGCACTGAACAAGCCAAAACGTATCTCGGTGTACTGGGGCCTACCGAAATCACACCACACAGTAAACAAAGCACTGATCACTTCTGCTTGGAAAAACATGAGGATGAATAAAACCAAAGGCAGAGAGCAACAGATCCATTAATTTCAAGGTACTATACAAGAATTTCCTCTACAGCTTTAGCAGCAATAATTAAATTTTTTAAATAAAGCTTGCAAGGACGAAAAGGAAGTGTTGCAGAATAAGCAGAAAAGGGAAATTAGAAAAATTTTTTTGAAATTGGAAAGAAATGTTTCAGTCCATACAATTTCATACACTTTTTGTCAGTGCCACATCAGGATCTCGACAGTACGACGAATAAATTAACCGCTAAGGCTACCAGTATGGAATCAACGATGTTAATGAAAAAAATAGCCGGATATAGTTAAACGACTTGTGTCAACAAAAAAGATAGAGTTTTTTTTCAAAAGGACGAAAGCCATAGACACAATGCATCGGAGAACGAATGCAGCTTTTTGTGTACTCAGTCCAATTTTACGAAGACAGGAACTTCTGGAGATCACTGGCGGATCCAAGACAGGAACTTTGCTCCCCCCTCCCCTACCACTCCCCGCCTTAGGAGCTCAGGTAGCAGCTGTTTTACTGTAGAAAACTCTGTTTTAAACCACCTGTCGCCCCTTTTTCCTCCCCCGTCCCGGGAGACTGCCCTGAATTTGCCTATTTTTGGAAACGGTTTCCAGTTTGAAATTCGTTCCTCTCATTTAAAATAAATTCATTAATTTCGAAGTGGTTCTTTTTTTAGTTTCATATAAAATAATAGAATAGGAGATAAGAAGAAACTCCAAGTGTCATGTGCAAGAAGACATATTTGGATGCTGTCTGTGTTTCATCCCTTAGCTGTAAACAAAAAAAAAAAAAAGAACTGACCTTTGCAGTGCGACAGTTTTGGCTTTGCCAATGACCAGTAAATTGTTTTCAAGTGATATGTAACGCTGAAGTAAAAGTTCCAAAACATTTGAGCATGTAGCGAAAGCACGATAAGTGGCGAAAAAGACATTGAAATGCCTTGAATCCATCAATAAATCATCCCCGATAAGGCACTCCTGCAAAATCGTATGGTTTCCATAAACAGAAGGTATAGCAGCATTGCATTCAAATGAAAGGGTAGCTTTTCTTTTCTTAAATGTCG